CACATTTGACTACTGTGAAAACCGTTTCCTCCGCCGTGTGTGAAACTTTCTTCACTCCCTTGCTATAGTGGATGTCTTCACTTCATGACCCTCGTTCCACTTGAGAGGTGGCACCCGTGTTTCTGTGCTCAAGCCAAAACCAAGAAGTCCCACACAGCCAAGCACAAGCGAGCCGTATTTGACTCGCTTGAACAGCCATGCGGCATTTGAAGGGTTAACAGTGCAGGTTGGCTGGATATTAATGCCAACTGCTCAGACTCCAGAATAAGACTGGCTTTAAACCAGCCTTCTCCTTGGCCCCTCTCAAACTCCGAGATCTTCTCAGGCATAGTTCTCATATTAAAAGAAAACAAGTTACACAAATGAGACAGATGGTTCTTGTTTGTGATGACAGTTGCACTACTTTCTCCTCCAGCTTTCCCACCTCCCTCCCCCTTCCCCCCACGCACCCTCCATCTTATCCCTCTCAGCTTTCTTTCTCTGGTATCTTTGCTCCTTTGTTGCCACACTCAGAGAAACAATTGGAGCGGTGCGCACGGATGCTTTTCCTTAATAATATAATGGTAATAAAACACAGTGTGCACGAACATGAGTGAAGCTCAGTGACTTCCAAGCAAGGGTGGAAGTCCCGCCATCACATTTCAAATGAGCGCCATCATTTCAAAGCCAAAAACTAAGCCGCGGATTACCATGATCAGTTTTCGTTATTGACATTGGAGGGAGTGATTTGCTGTTTTCAGCAGTGCGTTCGCTGCTTGTGCCATATGCATGGATCTGCGCTCTTATTGACAAGTGTAATGTGGTGGCTCCATGAGTGTAAATGCAAGCGGGAGGAGCAAAATGCAAGACTCAAAGGCAAAATAGAGCTGAAAAGAAATGATTCATATTGGGCAGGGCCGTGGTGGCCATTGGGAATTTTGGTACATTGCCTTGATTTTCCTGAACGGCTGGTCTATTTCCAGCACGGCACGGGCGCATCACGGTCGCCGTTCACCGCCCTAATATTACGGTATGTTTTTCTAATGCTATGTCATGGTTGTGTTTATTTTGTTCTTTGAGTTGGCGGGATCGGAGGGCGTTTCCTCCAGAGCCGCACCTGTTTGTCATTGTCATCAGCTTCATCATCGCCTGCTTACTAAAGGACCGCCACGCCGACCACTTTCTGTCGGATCGTTACTGACAATGTCAGTCTGTCGTGTTGATTTGTGCCTGTTGCTGTCATGTTGTTTTATTTGTCATAGTGGTGTCTTTTATTTGCTTGTGTTTTGTTGTTACTGACAGTTTGGATCTTTTCAGGACCTTGTTCGTCTTTTAGATGTAGTTTTTCCAGAGTGCCGCTGCAAGGATTTTTGTCCAGTGCCCCCTACTTTTGAGTCCTCTACCGTGCACAAAACATGACATGTTGTCACAAGCGTTTACAACTCACATTGCACATTACACTGCTATTGTGATGACAAATAATATCAAGATATTCATGGTAAATGGTCAATGGACATTCTACAATAACCAAACCCTGCAATACAGATGTTGATTTTTGAATTGAGTTTGACCAACAAGCATGACAAGCCTTCCCTTCTGGTTGCTTCCTCAGCCCATTTTCTGAGTGAAACCGACAAACTATGAGAAGAGTAAGCAAAGCAATGAACAGCAATCAGACTGAATACTTGGGGGCAATTTCGTTTAATACGAAAAACATCTTTGTTTGGAGGCTGGATTTGCCACAGGAATTCACACACTTATGCACACAAAAAGGGACTTGAGAGAATAAGCCACAAGCAAACTTGACTCGCAAAAGAGGGCCAGAAAGGCATATTTTCACCAACTCTAGTCTAATTTGACAGTTGCAGACCTTTAAACTATGATATGGACTGAAATGCGTCAAAAATGTCACGGTGCCCCGTTCACCAATTTCTTTCAAATCGCCAGGCGAGTGTTCATTTTTCACCAAGGAAAAACATGCCCGCCAGGTTAGAAGACACCAAATTGTCCAGAAGTGTGAAGTGAGTGACGGGCGCTGTGATGATCTGGCGACAAGTCCAGAGCGTCACCTGCCTCTGGCCCAAAGTCAGCTGGCGTCGGCACAAGCTCACTCCTGACCCTTGAGAGCATACGCATGATAGAAAATGGATGGTTGCATGCTTTTATTACATCATCAATATGTGTAAACCTCATTGTACTTTTGGTATCTTTGAAATTATCTGTAAAAATAATGCAGAATAAACAGTAATTCCGTCCCGTGACAGCTGCAAAAGGCACAAATGAACATGGCCTCGCCTCCAATGCAATTCATATTTGCATTTTTTGAAAACAGACCCTTCCGTTCTCGTGTATAAGGCGGACTTTGCTAAGTTTGGAATAATGGCAGACTTGAACTGGACGCGAGTCAAAAGTCAAACAAAGCCCGCACCGAGTCCCCTGTTGAACTTTCTGACATAACAAATGTGAATTTCAAACAGGTCTGTATATCGCACTCGTCCAAGTAAACTGGCTGGGCCTTTTGAGTTCAATACGCAAATAAATCTAAAGCCCCCATCTCGAGGCTTTTAGGGCAACGTTTATCCCAGCCTGGACAGAAGAGATTAGGATTGATCCGAGCGAGAAAAAGGAATGTCTCAAGAGTGACAGTGACAAGGTGTTTCAGAATGTTGATGGGGGCGTTACCTGCCGTAACTTCTTCTCTGCATGCTGAGATGGAGGATGCCAGTCACCTTACCTCCACATGCACACTCTCGACTTAGGTTATAGCCGTGCATCTGTCACCACGCAGATTTCAGATGAACTACAAAGGACCTTGCTTTCACACCTGGATAGTAAATGTACACCTGAAGACATGCGTGGCTACAGGTGAAAGGAGAAGGAGTGTGTGTGTGTGTGTGTGTGTGTGTGTGTGTGTGTGTGTGTGTGTGTGTGTGTGTGTGCATGCGCGTTATATGTATCTTTAAGTCAACAGCAATCGGCCGTGTCAAAATTATCCTCGCAGTGACCAGTAAAAGTGTCACCTGATGGCCACCTGGCTGCCGAGCCGAACGTACTGGACTGCACAAAACACGCGGTTGTGTAATTTCTAAGAGAGAGCAGCAACAGGTCACCGCGAGATGGGTGGAGATAGCGAGTGGACCTTCATATTTTCACCGAGGTAAATGCAGCTGAACAAATACGAATTTCAGCAGCTTGACGGTGGAAGGAGTAAGCCTTGGTGCCTAAGATAAAAGAAACATTAAAGCTTGAATTAATAACAGCACCAATTTACCAGTGGAATTTTAAAATCATTGTCCAATTTAAAACCCAAATGACGAAAGATATTTTTAGGGCCACTGGGACCAATCACCATAACTTTCTTTTCGTTGAAGTTTTAGAAGTTTAATTCCATCAAGGCTTTGATTTCGTCCAGACAAGACAAAAGTGGCTTTGAGGGAACAGTGTCTTTTTTGTTTTGTTTAATGGGACAGAAATTATAACTGTCATCCACATAGCAGTGAAAGAAAATCCAAATTTTTCAAAAACTGGAACCTAGGGGCAGCTAAAACAATGGAAACAGGACGGACCCCAAAATGGAACCCTGTGGGACACCATACGACAGGGGGCCAGAATGGGGCTGAAATAAAAGGTCCTGCCTGCCCAATAGGGGGCTACCACAAATGCCCACCTGGTTCTCGTGCTCGTACTTGTGAAAGGGTGAGAAGCATATTAGCACATGTACAATTCAGCACACTCGTATGATCATGAAAAAAAAGCTCAATCAGCTTTCCATGCCCTGCCACTTTTGCAAGTTTCAGAGTCTGGAGCCTGCTGAGTGAGCAGACTTAATGGTGATTGGATTCTCCCAGAGGACAAAACATTTAGACTCATTTGTCAAACATGATGAAGGCCAATGGAGGCCAGGTGTTATCCCTCCACGAGTGTGTGCACGAGACGTATAACACAGAGACACAGCAGACGGCGATGCCCTTCGTTCAGCCTGTGTGATAATTAATGGCTGTCAGTGTCTCTTTAGTGGAAGAAGGTGCTGACAGACAGCACTTGAGAAACGCAAGGAATGTGTGGAGCCCTCAGTGATTTGTGCGGGTAAAGGAGGTTAGTGCCCGAGGAGAAGAACAGCTCAACATCATTGACCAAGCGATGCAGGTCACCTCACGTGATGTGACGTCACACGCACTTATGTGCAGACTTTGTGAAAGTATGAAATGATCACTCACAACACCGACGACAGAAACTTTGTGCAACTACATTTTGAGCAGGTACAGTATTCTAAGATAAGTTTTCATGTTGTGCTGTCGTAAATACAGATTGTGTAGCGACAGGTACTGACTTGACAGATTTGCAGAGGTGGCAAAAGTACTCTGTACTCAACTCACTGCGATCGACAGCTACTATATAAGCAAAAATCCATTTTAACTGGGCTGACAGCGAATGAGTTAAATTGAAGAACAGATGCTTATGTCAGATAAAAGCAGATATTGTGATGTAGGTCAGTAAAAGTACATATATACACAGTTTTCCACGACTCAATCTTCCAGATAAAATAAAATAATTATTTTAAATAAAGCCATTGATAAGGGAATCATCTTACCTGGATGCTGATCATTTTAAAAAATCATCTTGGAAGAAAAAAGGCAAATCACGGATGTTCCGCAATTTTTATTCAAAATGCCACTCTACTCGCATGATGAAGAAAAAAATTAGAGTGCAATGTCACAGCTTTGTACCAATTAATTATTATATGATTTTGGTTATTATCAAGAACACCTTTGGAAAATGCCTCGATCAACTCCTGAATTCAACTTTTATGAGCTCCTTTTTTTGTCGTGAACACATTGGTCCAAAAAATGTACCTTTGGTTGTATTCGGCTTTTAAAATCAACAGGAAACAGAGCAGACTGTTCGGATTTGATATTCTGGTCCACGCAATTAACCAGTAGGTGGCGAAAATGCACCATTTCGTTGTTTACCAACTGCCCAAGAAATGATAAGAAGAAGAAGAAGTAGCCGGATATCCGTTTCAATTCAGGAAGTGTCCCAGTGTATTGTTTTTCCCAGATTTGACATTTTCGACGACATATTTCAAACTTCTCCACTCTCCTGCCAAAATGGGATGTGATGGTGGAACTATTCCTAAAAGACACGAGTTGGTGAAAGGTCCCAAGAAAGTTGAGAAGGTTGGCTCCGCGTCTTCTTTTTAACCAGTCGCTTACGTATACAAACATTGCCAGGTTGCTAACTGCTAGTTAGCTAGTGCCGAACGTCAACATGCTTTTTGCCGTTGCTGTCCTATCGGAAGCAATTGACGTACTTGGCTTAATTTTTGGTTTGTTTATCTTTCGTAGTGTGATTTAGGCGTCATCATCAACCGGATTTGAGCGCGTCCATTCAATTTGTTGTGTGACTATTGAAAGTGGTCTTCCAAATCCCCCGTAGGTTGACAAAAATGCAGAGTTGGCCGCCAAATGGAAACACTGTGCCCTAAGTCAGGAGAAACTCAGACGTCCAATCGTTGCCTGCGAACTGGGAAGGTCAGTGATGTCCTCGTATTTGTTCATCAATACGGAGTGTTGTCACAATACCAAATTTCAGATTTTTGGCAGTTGATGCTGTTCCTGTGTTAAGGCACAGCATCACCTCGATACCAATCCTGAAACCATATACCACTGCAAAAACCTCCATTACCACCGAAAAGTCTGGAACGAAAGATGACAAAAGATAGAACTTAACATTCTTAATTTTATTCATTCCAAATGATATTGAGCAGTGGAGGATATTTAAATACATAAATTACAACTGCAGTATATCATTTACTACTTTACATGTTATTCTTTCGTATAGCCTGCATCAGTCTTTCTATTTTCTGTCGCCTGCTACATACAGAATAATCCAAGGATGCACCGGCCAATGAGGCGTCATAAAAAAAAAAAAAATCACACACACACACAACTACAGCGCTAAAATGTGCACATTGAGTCCACTGAAGACAAAGTGATTGTATTTTTGTAGGCTTTATAACAAAGATGCTGTCATTGAGTACCTTCTGGATAAATCTGCTGAGAGGCCCAACACTGATGCTGTAACGCACATCCGCGGAACCAAGGTATGTTTAGGCTTTGTCTAGTTCCTCATTTGCTGAGCTTTACTACCCTTTTTGGCATCATTTTGTCCACCTCTTTCTGCAGGACATCAGAGAACTTAACCTGACCGATAACCCAGAGTGGGGGGGTGAGAGAAGCAACACAAAAGGAGACAGATACGAGGACATCCATTGTGGAATGTTTATTTGCCCCGTTGTTGGACTCGAGATGAATGGCAAGCACAGGTAAGGAAAACGAGCTGAAGTCAGATTCACGCTTCAAGTCCGATCTGTGGCACAAGTGGAAGATACGTGATGGCAGTGCAAAGAAAACAAAGCAGGGACTTGTATCTCAGTCTATTAGCCTCTTCCATCATGTTGAGCGTCTGCCAATGTGAGGGCTACTTAAACGCATCGATCGGCTATTTGTCGACATGAGGTTTGCGTCATCAAAATACACCCATCGAAGATTTACAGCATCTACACCGGAGTCTGCACAAACAACACAAACACGTAAAATTCGAAACTATTCTGATAATTAAATATATTGTATCTAACCATCCTTAAATAAGCAAAATATTGGATGCCAGTGGTGTGATATTGAGGTGAGGTCAATCAGCCCATGTATTATTGTCATCATTCACTTCCGTTGGCATTGCCTGGCGTTGATGCTTCTGGGTTTTATTACGTGCAATTTGCGTCTGCATCGCAGAGTCTCACTTGAAATGGAAATGGCGGGATGCACGCCATCTAAATTTGCCAATATTGTTTGTGTTGTCAGGTTCTGTTACCTGCGCACGTGTGGTTGTGTCTTCTCTGACCGTGCCCTCAAGGAAGTCAAGACCGAAATCTGCCACAAGGTAAATGCAACTTCCCCTTTGTAGCGGATGACATTTTGCAATTTAGAATATGCGTTAAAAAACAAAACACCCATCAAACAGAAATGTACATGCATCCGGCGTTTGCAGCAACACGTATCATTTGGTCAGATGGTTATACTGGATTCGAATGCATTCTTAAGTATAACTGCGTAGGTTTAAGTTTCGACTCTTTGAGAACAATGCCATGAATTTATGAATTTTATATGTATATACACACACACACACACATATATAGACACCGAAGTGACGCGCACACACAAGGGAAGCCGTTTTGCAGTGAAAGAGCAGCTGTTGGCGATATGTGAGCTTTGTTCCCGAACTGGAAAGAAAGTACGCCCTATGGCTTAAGAGCAAATAAACGTGTGTTTACTCTCACGCGAAAGACGGGGTCGCAACACTACTGCTTGAAACCTTACATGTTCCACTTTTGCATTCCTCCCTAAATTGTTTCACGCACGCATCAGCAAACGTGTGTCTTTAATTAAAGAGCGTCGCCTACGAGCCAGTGCTAATTGCTAACTAGCGGCGTTTATTAGCAAAACAAGTGTTGTCAAGTCAAGTACAACTTTATTGTCAAATGTGCTGTATGTGCAACATAGTCCGCTTTCGAAGCAGGCAACCTTCCAATTTAGTAAAAGTACACTGAACAAGAAGTTCCCTGAAACCATCATAAGCAATGCTCAAGGCAAATGAGCGCATCACCCCTTCAGTTCCTGCGTTTGTCACCCCCCGGGGACAGCGTCTCACGCCGCGATGTCATGGTGACTGTCGTTTGGTGTGGCCAGCAGCCATGACGACTCGATGGGAACGCTGGCGTTGCTCAGCAACTTGTTCCTGTGCCACTGCTCCAGACAGTCCAGTGCCTCCGGCAGGAAGTCGTTCTCAAACTTGTTGGCAAACATGTGATTGGTCCTAATGAGCCACGGCAGGTCCTTGACTCCGTAGATGCAGATTGAGCGCACATAACGACCTAGAAAAGAAGAGGAGGCGTTTTTGCTCTAATGCAGATCAAATCGACTACACTTGGAGCTTGTGATACGACTGACCCGTCCTATGAGTGTTTTCAGACCCGGGAATAATTTTTTGGGCATTCGTAATGAGCGCCAGAAAATGTGGGAGGCAAGCACTGTATTGTGGTAAGGAGCTCAGCTCAACTCGCATCTCAACAAGCAGCATTTTGACTTAAGATATCGATATATTTTCTTTCGCGACTACATGATGATATATGACAATACTCTCAGGAGTGTTTTCTTGAACCTACGCAGAAAAGCAGACCGAGTAGTTGTGATAGCTGTTTATTTGTATGTCTGTATTATACTGCCCCCAGTTGGCCATCTCCTTTTTCCGTGATAGCAGACAAGTCAGTTTCAAGAAACGAATCCGCCCAAAATAGAACCCAAAAAAAAAAAAAAAGTCATATTACCGTTGCAGCCGTCGTGCGCCTTTCCTATTTGATCCTCCCACTTGATAGCCCGGATGCCTCCTTCCCAGCCACCATCCATGTTGCTGCCTGGTGCCTCTTTTAGATGGAACAGAGAACCGGGCAGAGTGGGTCAGATTGCGGAAGCTGAACAGATCTCATCACCGTGACACCAAACTTTAGGTCGCCTTTGAATTGGATGACATCTAATTGGTGGAGGTCACATCGGCTCTGTTTTTAACAGTAAAATCTTCAGGACTCCATTTTGTTATCGTCTACGATTGATGCCTTGATGCCAAGACTCCTACAATAGCTACTAGAGAAATCGCGGAGAGGGCATTGAAACACGCAGCGATGTGTGTCACGATGTTTTGATCCAATTTGTGACTGAACCAAAGCCAAGAGAGTCGTTTTTGCGGTTAGCGCCGGCGCACTGAAAGGGACGTGCCCGAAATGACTGCCTGGAAGTGACGATCCGATAGGGTGCTTGAACATTTCTATGCTGTCACAGAAATCACCGCCCTCTGTGAGAGAAGCCACGACTGCAACGTGGCCCGCGACGAAAATGAGTTTGGCACCGCTGGCCTTTGTCAATCTCAAAAGTGTTGCAATGCAGAGTTCTGGGCTAGCAACCGAAGCCGCGCACTGCAGCTTTTAAGTCTTATGTTTGCATTGCATGAACTAAACGTTAAAAGTTATCGCTCAACTATGGGCACGACAGTTGGCTGGTGGGAAGCATGTCTGCCTCGCAGTTCGGCGGTTTGAATCACGACACACCTTCATAAATAGGGATAAATAAAGACATCCCATGAAGTTCCTGGGTCAACTTCAATTTGTCACTTGGCATTGTATGTCATCGCCCTCCCCTAATCCGTACTTGGATACCTGATACGCATTCTTGTTTACCTCTGACGTGATTGAGCGTCACCCAGTAGTGCTCATCTGGACTGTACGTGTCTCTGGACCACTCCAGGAGGTCACGGGCTTTGGGGCTCTCAAGAACAAAGTTGACAAAACCTCTCGTGAGTGCGTAGTAGGCGGACCCAAAGTATATTTCGAGGTTGTGAGGAGGCGGGTCTTTGTTCCCTCCGATGACAGCGACGCGCGAACCGATCTCCCTGTGTCGGAATTTTGTCCGTCTTCGAAAATACGCCGGCTGCTTAATCCCCGGCGTCATGTTCCTGTCCCGCCACTCCTTACTCTGCAAATGGCGCACCAATTCCAGGTTGCTCTTGAGCGGGAAGTCCTGCCCGCACAGATTGAGCACCTTCCTCCAGCCGACCTCGGACGTGGCCAAATCCGCCATGCAGTTCAAGTCCGCCTTCAGGCGCGAGAAGCCAGCGTAGGTCACTGTCTCGCTGCGGCTGGACAGGAAGACGTTTTTAAAACAGCCCACCAGATTCTGCACCGCTGCCCGATACTCCTGTGGCGCCTTTGCATCCACGTGAATGCAGTAGACATTTTGGGGCGCGTAAATGGCCCGCAGCAGCCGTACCAAAAGCTCCAGCTCTTTGTGAACGGTCAAGATGAATGCCAGTGGGTACTCCTCCTCCTCGTGGCTCAGAGCTCTCGTGACGAAGTGAAGGTCTCGCATCAGATTTGAGCACTGAAGCTTCTTGTTCGTAACGTACCTTTGGACCTGTCGAGAGGGGAAACGCGCGTTGAGTATCGGGACGAGAACTCGGATAACATTTGATGTCGTAAGAAACCTCCAAGTATCAATTAGCTTAGAGATCACAGCCGTACCTGGCAGTCAAGCCGGTGCAATTTTATCCATGCGTCGGCATCAGGAAGAGCATCTCGACACTGGTCAGAGAAGGGGCGGCACGGCGTTAGCATCGGGGCGGGCGACTCCTTCAAGTGGAGAACCCAAAAGATGCTGGCGCTCATCACAAGGCACAGCAAGAAGCTGCATTTGAGCCAGCCAAACTGGCACACGATAGACCTTGTTCTCATCTTGACTGCGCCTTGCCACAGAAACTGCAAAGCCAAATTGGAACAAGCCTCGTGAGGGCTCTCGAAGAAGGTCAAGTATAGCCCTGTTCACACGGCACACATTTGGTTCGACGCTGCACCGAAATATTTTGTTGCGATATATTTTACACCGGAGCAAATTTTGTGGAGCGGTCACACGTGCAAAGCCGCTGAGCGTGACAGCTCCGGCGCAGGGAGCAGTTCCACTTGCGGTCACACGTGCAATTTCTGCGCCGGACCAAAACGACAGGAATGCGGAAGTAAAACAGGTTCGGGTCGGGCTACTCTCTCGCGGACTTTTATTTATTTTTCTTTTAATAAATATTATGGCGGACACTATTCTGTCCTTGTTCAGAATAGATCCACTTGTCGGCAGTCGTGGAATAAAGACGTGTTTACAGTCAATCGTGTGTGCTCCTTATGACTGCCACAATATATGTTTTTAAAAATGTATACTAAAATAATGTGCGGATACTAAACTAAGGAATACTTGTTTTAAAACAAACAATTTGGATAAAACAGAGAATGCGCTGTAATTTAATTGCTATTTAACTGCTAAACAGGAGCGCGGCCGGCCAGACCAGTGCGTTTGTTTGTTGATTCACAATTGCAAGAGAAAAGAAAAAACAAAACATAAAAATAAAAAACACTCACACGGGTGTTGAGAAAGGTGATCACCAATTATTTTGCTTTAAGGGAAGGAAACAAAGGAATTGAGATTAAGTTGTATTTATTTATTTTTTCACTGAGTTTTCTGTGACAATAATTTTGTTGTCACGCATTTATGTTTAATTGTAATGTGCTTTTGTGTGTCTTCTGCCCATATTTAGTAATGCTGTATAACTTTCCCATGCCCGCAGCAAAACTTCGCGTCCTTGAAGCAATCATCAGTTAATATTGGTACACTCCTTTCTGGAGGGAGACGCACAGAGCACCGAGATGCGCCAGTTGATGAAAGCTAAGAATCGGTTCAGAAGAAACCAAAGTTCCGATGCCACACCATAAATTTCGGTACCGCCCTTCCGGTGATATAAATATGTTGTGAATCCCTTGTACCTTTGCACTTGTGACCACCGCAGCCATTTGTCTGTAACTAATTGGTGCCCGGACGATATTCTGCGAATAAAAGCTTACCAGCCTGTATTTGGATAGCCAACATCCTCACCGTCCGAAATTAACGAACACGAGGTGGAAGAGAAAGGCCATCCCTCCCCCAACACTAGCCAATCAATGAAATGCCACACTGCAACTTAAAATACAAATGCCGTGCCAAGTCAGACAATACAAGTTGATATGAACGAATTTCATCCTGTTTGGGCTTCCATTCCCATAAGAGCGGGCAGTAATTTGACATACCGGTACTCAGGGGGACTTAATTTGCAAGTCAAAATCCGAGCACCATGCCTACCGGGCAAGCGTTTGGCGTCAATAAAACAATCTCACATGTCATGGACTCTTTTTTTTTTTTTTTTTCAGTTTGAGATGTAAGAATGTGGGGAAAATGTTACCTCAGACAGGACAGCTGACTTTCCTCATCACCAAGGCAACTCATGAGTTGTCCATTCAAGGTTAAAAAAAAAAAAAAAAAGACAAATCTGAAGCAGCAGTCGATCTAGTCGACATGTCGCAGGTTTGAGTCACGGTCGTTCTTGGCTGCGATGGTTAACAGCGGGATGGAACGTTCTCTCTTTACATGAGCTCACGCACTTGTCTGCCCCCACCCCCGAGATCAAGATAATAGTCCCTGCTTGGTTACCGACGCCCGACACACAGTGACACCTCGTGCGTACACACTCGCACACAATCCCTTCATCCAATCATCCCACACATGGTCGCCTACTCACGACTTTCCATTTTCCCCCCCCTCAGATGTTGGTTTTCCGTTTAGTTCAAGTTCGAGGCACCCGTGTCATCAGTCCCGCTGCCTCTCCGCTTCGGAGGTCGCTGCCAATCCGTTGATGACGGCCGCACCGGTCTGTCTGTCTGCGGCCCGGAGTTTGTTTGGTGCTTGCTCAGCTTCTGACATGATCCCTCCTGTGTTGCACAGAGCACATGGCAACAGTTGACACCCAGCGGGCCCGTGTTCCTGGGACACAATAGAAAGCGGCCCTGCCCTCCCGCCGGTTACTCTGAGCTGCCATATTTGTGTTGGACGACGGATTTGTCTCGCCGTCTTCTGAGCCAGACCGCATTCTAACACTTATCAGTTCGCCGCATGTAATGTTGCACTTCCCGGACCCGCGTTTGTTCTATTGTATCTCTGGCGGGGTTTTGAAGATAAAACAAAAGGATGCGGAATTATTTGGCAAGTGCCGCTGCGCTTTTCTGGATGTTTTCAGCAACGTGTTGCGCTTGGTTTCATGCACAAGGTTTACAATAAGATATTCTTCCGTGGAATTTGTGTGTCGACTGTCTGTTGTTGGTGTAACATGGCCTGTGTCTGTCCTGTGCCCTTTGTGTGGGATTCAGTGCGGCGACCCCTTTCAGAGTGCGGACATCGTCGTGCTCAACGGGACAAAGGAGGAGGTGGAAAAGCTGAGGGAGAACATGGAGGAGAGGCGAGCCAAAGCCAAAACTAAGGTGACCTCCACATCACATCCAGAAACAAAGCACAATTGACTTACACACATGACACAGTGCTCGCCTACACAAGACAGCGTTAGCTTATTCAATGTACTTCTTCCTTTGGGCCGCAGATTTTTTTTTGTTCGTAACTTTTTAATTTCCAGTGGTGTAGCCAGGTCCGAGCGTGACAAAAGTTTGCGGTTAGAATTGTCAACAACAAAACCACGAGGGGCCAGTAAAATGGGTTGAGGGCATTTCTGTCCAACTTGAATGAAGTTTGTTTCTTCTTAAGAGGTCACGGTTGGCACAGAGACCTCCTGCTGGATTAAAACCGGCCATAGCAATAATGAAAAGTCAATTGTTATCTGACGGGATAATCGGTAGAATTCCCTGTTGTAAAAATATTTGATTGCGTACAGTACTAAAATGTATACTGTCTGTAGTCTGGTTGCTAATGAATGCATTTTGTGTGTGTGTGTTTGTGTGTGTGTGTGTGTGTTTTAAATAGAAATCAAAGAAGAGCAAAGCTGCTGAAAGTGTGTCCACTCCATCACAGTCAAAAGGTTTGTGTGAAACAAGCAAACGGCCCATGCTGCATTTTCACCCTGTTTGTCTTTAAAAAAATAATAATAATCAATAAATAAAAAGGGGTGGGGGGGGGAGTTGACCAATCTGACAAAGACAGTGAGAAGTGGGGTACAAACAAATCGCTTTTTAACATCCTTGTCAGTCGTAGTCCCCCAAGCCGAGCACTCTACCCCGCCCACGTGGAGACGCACATTGGGCTTTCGATGACGTATGTCGGATGCCTGCGGTTGAACCGTCATACTGCAGACATGTCGCATACCTGTCCCATTTATAAACTCTTACTGAAAAAAAGAGGCCCGGGTTGCAATTGGAAAAAAAAAAATCCAAAATTGTACCACACTGGGGAAATTTACAGTCTACAGCAGCAAGATTGTGGGATAAATAAAGGATATCTTAATTCATACTGCGCAAAAAAAAGAAAAACCTGATACGTGTCAAAAAAATCGGAAATGAGCTGCAGTGGGAACAGAGCCTTAAATCAGAAGCTCAAATTCACGTTGTGTCCACATTTGCAAAAAAGCCGCAAACAATTTTCCATGCTCATTTGGGGTTGGCTTTTGACGGGCCATTACATTGATGCATTCAAATGCCTTTCAACAAACCGACCGCACCCTGACCTAACACCACGCTCATCATTTCCGCATCAATATCAATACTGTGCTTGCTCGCGCTCGAAAGTTCAGAATCAGAGTTGTCGTTGTTGGCCAAGTATGTAAAAACGCGCAGGCAATTTGTCTGCAAGGAGCTTGAGCCGCGCTAGTTTTATAATAGCGAGCAAAACGAACATATCAGGTAAGAAGATAAAGAGAGTAGTGTTTGAGTTCAGAGGCCTCGCTGCTCCTCCGCGCCGCCGCCACTGTGGTTTCCTGTTTGGCTCTCGACTGCCAAACACCTGCAGTTTATTTGCTTAGCTCCAATCACAAAGAGAGTTTCAGTGGAACGTGGCCACGTGTGCGCCGCTTCCTCTTCCTGCAGGCGTATGGCTTCTTTTTAGCTCACGCTACTCTTGACCTTTTTTTAATTGTGGCTTTCGCAACACATCAGATTGAATTGAGGCTCTACATGTCTGTATAAAAAAACTTGAATACATTTATCAGCACTTTTGTTTTTTTGTACACTTATTTGCGCATCTTTTTGGCGGGGTCTGGCTGGGAACAGGAAGCTTGTTTTTCAGGATTTTTCCAAGTATGGAGGCAGGTGGCCACTATGGTACTTGCGCATCACAATAAGGAACGTTTTGTGTTGGTGGAGGTCCAAGCTCAATCGAGTGCTAACTTCTGTTATTATTTCTCATCCCTCATTGTCTCTTATCGCTCACGCGACTATTGACTCTGCTTTCTATTGTGTCGTGCATCACGGCTCAGCTTCCGAATGTCACATGACCAAACTCAGAAAAGAGGTGAGCCGTGATTGGTCGTTACCCTCAGCCCTGAGCTATTATGACGTCAGTTTCAAATGACGGAGATGGAGAAAAACGAGTGGATTTGGCTTCTTAATTCATAAGAAAATCTGACATTGTTAAGGAGCCCTTCCCGTTTGCGTCTATTTTTTAACATTAGTGGCAATAAACATCTTGAAGGAAGAACAAATGACTTTTTGTCAAACGGCGCGTGTTAAGTTCACTGCCTCCACTGAGCAGTAAATCATCAAATCACGGCTCGTATTTCAAAACTCGCAAGCCCGGCTCACCCCCTTGTCTCAAGGTGTCGCTGTTTGAAGAAGAAGAAGAAACATTTGTTGTGTTTCTTTACATTCTGCAGATGACACACAAATGGACAAGGTGCAAAAGTGCTCACTGGAAAATGGAGGCGAAAGCAGCCAATCAGGTAGCGACATGTGAAATTTCAAACTGTTCTATTGGCTCTATCCAATTCAAAATCCGCGTTTTTGCTTCCTCTGCAGCATCTCATCACTATTTCTTTCTTTCTTTTGATTTTTGGGGCCTTTCTTCGCCCGCTCAGATCAGGCGGGCGGCTCGGGAGCCTCGCGCCTCTCCAGCGCCGTCAACGGCGGCGGGCCTTCGTCGGTCGCCTCCAAGCGATCCATCCAAGAGATGGAGGAGAAGTCGGAAGCCTTCAAGTCCATCTTCACCACTCACAGCTCCGCCAAGCGCACCAAAGAGCAAACCTCCAATTGGGTCACCCACACGCCATACCACTTCTAGCTCTCGCACACACGGACGCGACCTTCGCCGGCACCTGTGCGGCTGCACGTCAACTCGGTCCAAGCGTGTTGCCCGGCACCTCCGTGTTTTTTCTTTATGTGTTGTTGACAGTTTTAATGGATCCCCAGGCTGCTCACACGCGAATCCCTTCCTCCGCCCCCCATCCAGGTGCTTTGAGAATTATGCAAGGAGTGTTTTGCTTTCTTCTGCTTTCCTCAATAACCGCATTGCCCAAGCTTCAGTGCCCCCCCCTTTTTTCCGACAGCACATACATGATATTACTCCGTGTTCGCTCACCTGTCTTGACTCGCATTTCGATCTGAAAAAAAATACTTTTTGGAGTAAACTAAAGGGGGAAAAAAACCTTGCTGAATTCGATTTGTCATTGTGTGTATCCAATATGTAACACCCTGTTTATGCACTACCGTGGAGCTCTGTGTACTCAGCATCTGTGGTTTCACAAATTTGCTGGTTTTTCGGCTTTTTAAATGGGGAAAAAAATGTTTAATGTCTCTCTCTCTCTCTCTCTCTCTCTCTCTCTCTCGCTCTCGATAGATAGATAGATAGATAGATAGATAGATAGATAGATAGATAGATAGATAGATAGATAGATAGATAGATAGATAAAATTTCCTCTCAAATCATGGCCATTAATTATACACCGACTTTTGCTATTCTGTGTCAGGTGCCACAAACGTGGATAGCAGCCAAGCACCACATGGGTCATTGTGATTTTCTAGGATGCCGTCAAAGGGGTCACGTCCGATGTCAAGTTACTGTGCGAGTGTGAGCTCACCAAGGCGCTTCTTTGCCATGACCTTTGTGAAAAGCCTTCACGGACGACTTTTAGCTGGAAAGGGAAAGTGGATTCGGAAAGAAGTGTCACTTTGTGCGCAAGTCACGGCAGGTGAGCGAATGCTTTCAGATTATCTCATCTTTCACAACATGGTCACCGATATTTCCAATGCTAGCGGGCCCACGTGCGACCTTTTCGACCACACCGCAGCTAGATTCATCGCTCGGTATCTTTTTGTGTACCATCCTTGAACAAGGTGATGCGTCGTTTGTATTGGTTGCATTTTGTTGCTCTCGGGTTAGCAAATGTCCAAATAATGTCACGTACAGCCCTTACTTTCTGTGTCAGAAAAGTCGCAAGTAAATGTGAGCGTAATATGAAATTCACTTGTTTTTTTAGAGAGATGAATAAACATCTACTGGGTGGTTTGCGGCCCATGAACAAAATTGTTTGATTTGCAACCGCAATAGCATATGCTGCTTATGAATAAATGAATTCTTTTTTTTTTTGCGGCCCTCGTGATGAAAGTTGTACTGAACGGTGAAATCCGTTGAGCGCTAACTCGCATTGTGCAAATACAACCACAAGAGGTCAGTAGTGGCTTGTTTTTAGTCTGCAGCTGCCGCACTGTGTCCTTGGTGAAAAATAGGTCCCCCTCAATCCATCCCATCCATCTCATCATCCGAGCCGTTTATCCCCAACGACAGACTAAATAACCAACACACACACACACACACACACACACACACACACAGCCTGCCACCTGCACCCTTTGGTTTTCTCTTCCAATTAAACGTTTTGATTAGGGTCGCTACAGTACTTTTTTTTTAACTTTCAAATTCATCCTGCAGGCCAAATTGAAACGCCCTAACAAGACACGTAAAACACACTGCCGTGGGATTTATACAAATTTTTTTCAGCAAATAAAACAATGACATCCAAACGTTAACGATCCAGTAATTATTCTATTGTCTACGTTTATCAATCATGTTTATGTCTATTCATAATTTTAAACTGAAAAAAAAAAACAATAATATTGAATCAATAAGAGGCAACGGCTGCATTTCTAAGTGTTGGTTTTTTTTTCAGGAAGGGGGCTGGCAATAAACAGGAAACTACTGAATCGATAATCTTTTGCCCCCTGAAAGGAACCATCCTCAGAATCTTTCGACTGACCTTTGGGCTCAAACTGATATTCGGTTTGCCCTGCAGGATAACAAACATACACTATGCGGTAACAGCACACTATTTGAGAGCACATATACCTTACCATTACCGTAGTAACTCAAATCGATTTTTAACATTCCTTTTGTTCCTGGCGTCATTTCCAGTGCAATTTGTCAATTACGTATAAATGATGTTACAGTTTGGCGCGTTCACTGAAGTAAGCTGCTTTTTTTCTTTCTCGAGGACACCCAATAGCCGAGCGTGGTGACGACACTTTGATGTGTTCATCAGCCAACGTATTTGCAAGATCAGATAACAGGAGGAGTTTTTGGTGCTTTAAAAAAAGAAAGGAGGAAAAAAAAAGCCTGCTTGGCTTTTGAAAGCGGATTCTTTGGGTCACCCCGAGGCGATGCGGTTTTTTGAGGGGGTGGTAGATGTTGAAGCGACCTCATCTTGAAATTTCCCTGCGAGTGATTTCACCCAATGTGATGGCCTACTTTTTTTTCCGGATTAATAAAAGACAATTCATGCATCATATGACTGATATTAGTCATCCAAAATTATATTGATACATATGACTGACCATTGTCAAGTTACAAGCTTTCTATATCTGGGAATAAATGGAATATGCTTGGTTTAAAGATTATAAAAACAACGAAAATCATATACACACGCGCAACGAAATATTGGGAATCGTGGGGAATCGATGTTTTGGATTTTGCTTTCTCAGGTGTGTTGTGCTCGTGGGCGGCGCATGCGCAGTGCGAGTGAGCAGGTGACGAGCGAGCTGCAAGCATGTGAAGATCGCGTGTGTTTCACTCACTGGCCGAGACCGGAGCCTTGCAGATGTCTGTGCTGGACAGGATCGACTGGAGGGTGAGTGACGTCAAATGACTCCGATTCACTTTTTTAAAATCTTTTTTAAAAAAAATTTCGAATTAGCATTTGAATTTTGATTTTTTTTTTAACCTCCAAAGTAATTGAGCTGTTTATGAGTGTGCGTTTAATGATCTTTTAAGTATCGCTTTCTTTGTTTAAAAAAAAAGTGCATAGCCTACTTTTTTTTTTTAATGAATGAATGAATGAAATACAATTATTTTGCTCAGGAACGATGCCGTTGTGAAATCGTCGCAACGTAATCTAGCAGTGATTTCTAATCCGCAGCAGCCGTTATACTTAAAATCGCCACTATGATAATAAGAATAACATAGCCTAAAAAAAAAAAAAAAAAAAAAAGAATCATAATCGCATTTAAAATACGTGCACGTGCGTTTTAGTCAACAGATCTCTTTATGCTCGTTTTTCTCCATTATTACCGAGTGTGGTATTTGATAACAACAAAAAGAAACAATTTATTATTATTTATTATTTATGCATGAAAGGGCTACTTGAAAATAAGACGCAGCCATCCTCTATGTATTTTTTTATGGATTATGGATATTCAAAATGTCGTGAAAGGCCTCACTCACAACACACACACACACACACACACACACACACACACACGCGTGCAACGACTGGCGTTCAAAACGTGAGGTCAAGCGTGATTAAATGTCTTTAAGTCGCCCCTCAGTCCACTCTGACGTAAAATAACATTTTAATCAGCTCGCACTTGAGTTAATCTCGAGCATCTTTGCAGTTCCCATGCATGCATGCATGCAGGGTTGTATGCATAGTTCGACACCGGCTGTTCTCTCCCAAATTAGAATCTGAACCGGTTTGGAAGAGCCTTTTAAGGCTGATTTCATCGTGCACACGTGCAGCACTTTGGACGTTTTTAAATCCAACATAATGCGTTTTGGAAAAAAAGGTCTGCAAGGCCAAGCTTCAAATCATGTCGGACCTTGCCGCACTCCACCAGAAATGCAAATGAGCTCAAGGAGCTTCGTGGTTGGTGAGTAATGCTTGCATGCTTTCGCTCCCCTCGGGCGTATTGCAGCTTTTTCAGCAGTCTCTTAACCAGCACCGAGTCCGTCTTTAAAACAACGTGAATGCTCGTTATTTTATCGCTCTCAGGCTCTCAGACCGACGATTTTGCTGAATTTCGATCAATTGCACGAACCCACGTTGTACAGTATCTCGAAACGCGCCATAGACAGATAATTAAGGCGTACAACTTTGACACCAATATATCCTGAAATAAAAAAATCATTGACATATAATTTAAAGAACACTTAGTACACTATACGAAAAAGACACGAACAATATTTCCAATTGTGAAGCAGCAAGTGAAAATGACAGTTATTCGATTGGCAAATGGTTTGAGTTGATGTTAACTGTTTTTATCATAAATTGCAGAATAAAAAAGGAAGAGTAAGGGAGAGAGAGAGAGAGAGAGAGAGAGAGAGAGAGAGAGAGAGAGAGAGAGAGAGAGAAATATGTGAGAAGTTAGTAGTTTGTGTCAATTAGTTTCTGCCCCCTTTCTGAAACGTACAGACGCATAGAGTTCCGATTGGCCATTTTTTCAGCCAATCAGAAGTCGCTACCTCGAACTGCTTCTTTCCCGGTGACGTCAGTCAGCAGGGCAACGCCCACCCGAAGCGACAGTGCAGACTTTGGGAAGCTGCAAAACCCGCCTGTGCCTGATGTGCGCGTCTGCGCTCTTTTCGTCCATCAGAGGGAGTCAAGTTTCTTCTGCTAAATGCGCAGCCTCCCTCCCGTTGCTCAACAGACGCGACGAGCCGCCGCCGCGGAGACGACGAGAGAACTCTTTTTTTTTGTTGTTGTTGTTCACTTTCCTTTTGACTGGCTTACCGTGGAACAGTCTCCTGTTGGCGGGCGGATCGCGGGCCACTGTTTCCGCCTTTAGAAAAGACGCTCGTCGGGATCTTCACTCCCAAACTGGATTAATCCCGAGGCGTTAAACGCGGCCTTTTTCAACGTGCGCGTGTGTGTGTGTGTGTTGTATTATTATTATTTGTATTTTTTTTCCGGGGCTGACGAGCCCTTTATCCCCGGGCTGTCATGTTGTGGAAATTAGCAGACAACGTCAAGTATGAGGATGACTGCGAGGTGAGTTCGGGCACAATACGGGTGACGCACAGAACTGTGAAAATAGAAAAAGTTGAAAGTATGAAGTTGTTACTCACTTTTCAGATTAAAGTATACTTTCGTGCACTAGTCGTCAATCAGTCGAGCGCCGATAAGAAAGCAAATAATATATTTTTCTGGACCATAGATGCCTTTGAATTTGGACCTTTTCAAAAGGAGCGATTTGACATTTGTACAAATGTTTTTTTGCTGTGGTTGTAGAACTTAAAAGGTGCAGGTGCTGTTGGTGGCGATTTGGTATAGTTCATATTTTCTGCAATATTCCCATGCGTTGGGGAAAAATGAAATTCTGTCTAAATCCAGAGTCATCCCAGCCTTTGAAATGCGTATTTCGATGAGTACTGCTTCCTGGCTTTGCCATAATTGCGCTTTTTTTTTAATACCATCGAGTCGGCGGCCAGGAGGGAAGGCTCATTGAATCAATGCGCGTAAATACATAAATACAGTGGATACAGTGGCCCCCAACATTTGCACTGTGCAAAGGAAGAAGAAAAACAATTCAACCGTGACATCCCAATCTTTTTGGTATTTGCTCACATTTAAAAAGAAATCAAAACAAACAAAAAAAATGGAGGGTTAATCCAACAAAGTGGAGCGTTTTTCGTGTTGGGAGTTGAATCCCCAAAATATTTGACTGGCCAAGTTGAACAAGTGGCCCTCCATCTTCCAGGAGCGACACGACGGCAGCAGCAATGGCAACCCGCGGCTGCCCCACCTGCCGGCGGTCAGCCAGCACCTGTACAGCCCGCCTCCCTCCCTCTCGCACTCGGCCAGCTCCGACTTCCAGCCGCCTTACTTCCCGCCCCCCTACCAGCCCATCTCCTACCCGCAGTCCGGCGACCCTTACTCCCACCTGGGCGACCCCTTCAACATCAACTCCCTGCACCAGTCGCCGTCGTCCAACCACCAGCAGCAGCCGTGGCCGGGACGCCAGGGCCAGGAGGGGCTGGCGGGGCACGGCAGGAGCGGCCTGGCCGGCCAGATCCTCGGCCTGGACGGCGGAGGAGGAGGTGGAGGGGGAGGAGGAGGAGGAGGAGGAGGGGGCTCGTCCGGGGTGCGGAGGGAAGGCTTCCGCCGGCCGGAGCTGCTGCCTCCGCACGCCCACGGCATCGAGGCGGCGGTGATCGGGGAGAGCATGGCCATGCACGACATGCAGGGCCACGGCATGGACGACGTGCAGGTGGGTGCGGCGCCCCGCACACTTCGCGAGACACTATCAAGCGTGGACGGGGCGGGGGGGCTTAAGAGTAAAACAAGAGCGTAAAATCGTCATCTTTAGCACAAACCTTGAAGTTACGGTATACGTGGAACTTTTCCATTTTGGCCCTGATTTTAATCATTTTCAAAATTCCCACCAACCATCACCCCTCGAAGTTATCATTTGGAAAGCAACCCAACAACTGCATCACAAATTCTGCCTTTCTAGGGGAAGACAGTAATTCTACTTGACACCCTCGTGAATGATTATCCTTCTGTAAACACTAAGCGTCAAGTCTTAATATTCCGTTGACATTATTTAACTACTCATGCAAAGTGCACAAAAAATTGAATCGGCGACCTGTTTGATGCACTTAGCAAGTACAAGCACACACAAGCACAGCCACCTTATGTATGCATAAGATGCACATATGCAACTTATATTTATACTGTGTACAGTTTTCTGAAACATTTATTTTGTGCATGCAACACTTTATTTTTTTCTTCTCATTTTTATGCTGTAGACTGCAAATTTGCCCAATGTGGGACAAATAAAAGTTGTCTTATCTTATTTTTCCGCGTTCCCAAAATGAAGCATGATTCAATTTTAAGGCCAATATTTGCGGTGTGGCTTTTGTATTCGGCTCCCATTGCGTGGGAAATGTGTGCACCACCTTCGCCATCTTACTTCTCTTTGTTTTTTTTTTGTTTTTTTTTATCAGCACGTGGACGACCACGGTATTATCATGGCGGATCAGACGGTCATCAAAAAAGGTGAGTTTCCAACTGAAATAACCGGACCCTTCCTTCTCCTGCCTGGCTCGTATCCGCGGCCTCACGCCTTCGCTTAAAATGAACGACAAGCAAGTTGCTAAGTGCACATCAGGAGTTCAGTATGTCGTGTGCGTATAGTCCATTTTTTTCATGATCCCCCATCCCCGCGAGAGGCACTTATGCGAAACTCCGTACCATCCCCTTGTGAGAAAGCAAGGTGCTTGGAAAAGACGCCCGGTGGGTTAAAGGGAAGCGTAAAAATCAAAGTCCGCGGCTCGTCTTTTGAGTCGTTCGGCGCTGCGGCAGGAAATGAGCGTCCGAGCTGATCCCACTTGGGGCCGGGCTGTGCGGGGCGCGGCACCGCGCTCGCATGTGAAGGGCAGGTTAGTAATTTGTTGGGACACGAACTGTTTTGATTAAGGATCTTTATTCCGCAATGTTTTGTCATCGGGAGTCCATTAAACGGGCTTTGAGTCACAGCGACTGCACGTTGACTAATAGCGCTTGTAATCGTCGATTTACGTGCAGAGAGAAAGATGGATGTGTTGCGTCATGTTTGTTGCTGCTCTTTTATGCTTTTATGCCGTTTCTTTATCTGGCGTTTTCTGCACGCCAGATGTTATGCCAACGCGAATTTGCGTGACTAATCGCATTTGGGTGTCAAGTTGGGTTAAAAACGTGCCGTTCGCTATTCCCCGCAACATTGTCAGTCGCCGTATACGAGCAATTCCATCAACAGACCTTTTTAAAGATGACTCTGGTGTGATGACAGTCAAGCCGACTTTTCGCTGATGACGTCAATCAACAGAAGAGGGAACGGTTTTGCGTCAGCGTCACAATGAACACGCTTCGAATTTACAGGGAAACGACACTGTCAAAAAAAACATAACGTGTATTTTGGGTGGGGCAGGGGCTCAAACAGTAAGTTGGAAAAACCTAAACAAAAAATTAATTACGGTTGTTAGAATCCAGGTGCCTCCACATGGGCAGGGCGAAGGCTGGTCACTGTCGCGTGATGGTATTTCCAGTCAGGGAGAACAATCCTTTGACTTGCCGAGCTTGTCATTGGGATTGCCACTTGCACAACTTGGGCCAAACGGGGAAACCTGTTCTGCATGATGACAATTTGCAATGTTTGCAAATAAACACGAGTGTCAAAACAATTCCCCACTTTCAGACCGAGAAGTTGTTCAAAATGCTGCTCGAGTTTGGCTTTTTCAATTTTATTTTATTTTTTTTTACACCCTGTACTGATTCTGGTACTAGTGCAAAAAAAAAAAGCTATTGGGAACGCTGCAATAAGATGAAAAACATCAGTGACGTCATTCATTAATGGATTTTGTTGATCGTGAAATCCAAAAGATCTTCAGTTCGAAGTTGGGTTGAATAGTCGACTTGGTGAACTAGTCTGTACACAACCCCGACTGTATACTTTGAATTAAAACATTTTTAAAAATGGTTGCCGTTCTGCGATCGGCATGTACTCATCTCGACTGGTCCGTGACCCCAAAAAAGGTTGGGCGCCACTGGTATAGAGGACATCGTATGGGGGTTTGAACACCTCAAAATTGGTCTGGAAAGGTTAACTTGATTCATAACATGTGTCGTATCCCTGACGGATTTTAAAACAAAACTTATGTTTCAAACTTGTTTTTAATAGTTTGATTTTGGTCAAGTTTTGTTGACCACAATCTACCTATTCCTCCGATCCTATGAAAAAATAAAACCCGTTAGTCTGTTTTGGAGTGTAAATTACATTAAGTGTCCCAGATTTATCATTCAGACCGAATATTAACCGATTCCCGTGTTACATTTGTTTACGTGTTTCATGTCTCCCCTGTGGGATTTTGTAGAGGGGCGAAGATGACATATGGGTGGGTCTTGAACACCTCTTCTAAAAGATCTAAAAAATAAATACATTCAAAAAAGGGGGGAGGACTTTAGATTTCTCGACAGAAAGCAGTGATGATTCATCATTTCCCGTTCTCACGCTCAAGGGCACGCTGTGGGCAAAGTAGGCTTCCCTCTGAGCAGGCAGGCAGGCGGCACATGTGTGACTCTTGTGATTTCTGTCTCAGTATTAGGACTGCGAGGCACCAGGAGCCTTGATCGCGTACAGAGGACTTGTTATCAGGGGGGCATCCTTGCGGGTGAGGATTGTCGCCTCGCTTTTGTGCTGTCTGTTAGTGTGCTGTGCTGTGGTTGTGTGTCCAGTGACTGTCAGTGCTCACACATTTTCCCGTCGATCTTCAAGGATGGCTAAGAACTTCAGCTTATGTAGATCGCTGGCTGGCCGTATGTGCTGTACATATTTGCGGACGGTGGCCTACTGGCTTTTGAAATTGGCAAGCCAAAGTTTAAAACTGCTGTTTTTATGGTTATTGAAGCGACCCTGAGTTTCTTGTACTGTGACTGTTTTGCATTTACGTTTACTCGTAACTTACATATTTGCCCAAACCTTTATTCGTACAATTCAAACAAAATGAAAAATATATACATAATCCATTAATATTAACCACACAGTGTCACATTCCCACAGCAAGATAAACATCAACGCCTTTGCCCCGCAACTTGTCGGCCATTTTGGTGGAGTGTTTTTTGTTTGGAGTTTTTTTTATTACTGGAGGTTTTTGTCTCATTGTGAATTCCAGGAAAAAGAAATTGCCAACCATGTTTGGGGAGTGTGTTGTTGCAGAAATATATTTTGCATTTAGTCTCATTACTCACAAACATATATTTGAGGTTATTTAAAAAAAAAAAAAACTATTTGGGCTGAATCGTATAAAAACAGGATGGGGTGTCACTTTAGAGCTAAGGTCCCCCTATGACTGAAATTCATATACAGTAAACAATGAATCAACTCATTGTTACGTATACCCAATGTTCCCTGCATTTTTCCTGTTGTTACATATATTTTGAACTACAACTTGAGTTTGAAGTCATGGAAAAAAGTGACCACCATGAAGGGCGTACAATTGTTCAGTTTGTGTTACGAAGGCATTTGGTTAAAAAAAAAAAAAAAGTGCAATTTTCATACCATCTTTTGTGCCAAAATTATAAAAACAAATCCATTTTGAAAGAAATATAAAGTAGAGGTCTTGTTGATCTTTTACCACCTTTTGCAACAAAAAAGCATTAGCATTTGGTCAACCATGTTTGTGGAATGTGTTGCTGCCAGTAGACAGCAAGGTGGAATTCTATTCGGTTTGCAAATATGATCAAATCATTGAACACTAACATATTACCCACATCATGGAAATACGTGTAAAATAGACAGAACATTTTGATAGCAATTTTTTAGCCAAGTTTTTGGAGGGAGAAAGTATTTAATTTAATACAAAGAATTAAATTTCGGTCTGCCTTTGAAACGGCTGCAAAATGGAAAGTTTTGGTAGGAAAATGTGCATTTCTTTCCCCCCAACAAATCGTTTCCATGCAGCAAGACTGAGTGTTTTTTTTTTTTGTTTTTTTAGGTGAGTTAGATAAAAAATAAAATTGCAATGAATGAAAATCACACATTTCAAGACTAACGTTGAGACTACGGTAAAGAAAACCTTTTAATGGTAACATGCATGTCCCATTTTTGCCACAAATTTGAGCCCCCCCCCAAAAAAAAAAATATATATATATATATATATATATATATATATATATACACATACGTACAGTATAAACTACAAAATAATTGACCACTCCATGTCATAAAAAAACGTGAAAATACAATTCATCGGCCTTTTTTGTGACGTGTTGGGCACTCAAATTACAATCGAACACTTTAACATGAGCGGTTTAGAAATTATGGAGAAAGACAATACTGCATTTTGATGGTAACACATATTGTTGCAGCCATTTGTGAAATGTGTTTCTCTCAGCACTGCCTTTTTTCTGTAGGGGTGGGGGGTGAGAATTGACACGTAGATTTGAGCCACTTCCTTCTAAATTGGAGTGAAAACATCTTGTGCCGCATGATGAAGATGGTTTAGATGAAGAACGAAATACTCCGCCCGTCTCATCTTCAGCACGTCACTCATATTCTCCCCCCCACCCAGGGCCAGTGACTCTCCCGAAAGGCAACGCTCTAGGCCTCCCCTTCCAGAAGGAGTCCCTGCTGGGCATGGTGTCCAACCCCACTGAGGTGTTCTGCTCCGTCCCGGGTCGCCTCTCGCTGTTGAGCTCCACCTCCAAGTACAAGGTGACGGTGGCCGAGGTCCAGAGGCGACTCTCGCCGCCCGAGTGCCTGAACGCGTCGCTGCTGGGAGGTGTTTTACGCAGGTCAGAGAGCAATCCTTGCACAAGTTACGTTTTGCCGTCATACAAAAAGAAAATCATCCATCTATGCATTCTCTGTGGCGCTTGTTCTCATTCGAGTCGTGATCTGGAGTTGAGCCCAGCTGGGCAAGGGAATTGGAATAGATCCTGGACTGGTTGCCAGTCAGCCCGAGGGCACATGTTGGCAAACAAGTGAACCTAACGCGCATGGTTTTGTAATCGGAGAGGAAGCCGGAGAACATGGAAAGTCTCCACATGAACGTCCGAGCCAAGATTCAAGCACAGAATCGACCGAATGTCAGGCAGACGTGGTACAGTAAACTAAAGTCACGGCTATCAAATATTTTGTGTTTGGTTATCCTTCTGAGAAGTAAGTCAAATAATCACGTTTTCGGGTCAAAGAAACGAAAACAAATGTTTTGCTTGGTCAAAAGAACAATTACGAATACACAAGAGAAAAGAACAACATTTCTCTATTTTCAGATCAATCGTAATTTTTTTTCCCCCCTAAATTTAAACTGCGCTTCGCAGCAAACTGTACTGTCTTCTCGAAAAACAATAGTGTGTATGCGTCGAAGTGTCGTCAGAACCATTTGGTTCTGACGACACTTCGACGCAACCAAATGGATGGATGAATTCGACATATTTGGTAGAAACTGATCAGGAGCAAACAACAATTAGCATCTCAGTGTGTGTCATCATTTTTTCCCAATTGAACTGCCTTTGAAATGTCGTCCGACATTTCTAGCTGGACTACTCGCTTAGTGGCTAGCTGCTAGCCACTAACTGCTGACGCTGGCAACTGGCGCTACACTCTACAATGTGAGCATAGTTGGAGTAGTTTATTTTATTTATTTTTTTGCAGCCTCAATTATCAATTGAACATGATTTCAAGATTATGTTGTGTGTCTGTGGTGGTAATTTAAACTTAAATTCGGCTCCAATTTACAGTCGAGAAGACGAGTTAAGTCAACCGCCACGACACCATGTGCTGCTACGAACAACTTCAAAATAAAAGTCTCACTGATGTCAGCGTTTTACTCTGTTTGGGACATTTTATTTTGAAGTTGACTCTCTCACCATGTTGGTGGTGTGTTACTGTCATGCATTGCTTGCATTGCTATGACTATATCCTCGACCATACACACCAAAAAAAACAAAAAAAAACCCAAAAAACAAACGTGCACCCGAGGCAGGAAAAAAAAAATCCCCCAGCATTTTTTTGAATCGAGGTACTTGAATTACTCAAGGATAATTTATTGAGTTGTGAAACTCTTTTTCGTGTCTGTGTCCGTTTTATGCTGCCCCCAGGTGGGCAACTAAAGCATCCTAAAATGTGGCAAAACCTTTTTACATTCAACGTATTTTTTTTTTTTTGTTTTTATAAAGTGCAGAATTAGTGGCATTTCCTTTCATTTTAAAAGATGACTTGAGATAAACGGATTGAGTCACAAGGGCGGTCACGGAACAAATTCAACTCAAGGCATATGTGATTTATCCGTGAATTTTCTTCTGAGGGACGCCTCACCACAGACACTGACCACTTTGGGCTGCATCGGAGGAGTTGCCTGCCACTTAGACGAACCTATGCTACATATAAAATGTGTTTGTAGAATGTGTGTGTGTGTGTGTATGCGTGTGCGAGCATGTAGGACGGTCCAGTGTATGCCAGACACCCCTGACTGGGAGATTTTGAGCTTGTAGCGCACGTTTTCTCCTTCCCATGTGCCTCGCGTTATTGCTGACACGCACAGGCGCCAATTTACAAGCATTTTGAAGTAGGTCATATAGCACGAGGAGGGGGTTTGTTCGTGGAGGGACTGCGAAAGGGTGTGAGGACTGCACACACACACCAAGGATCATGCCCATCTCACAGCGAGAGCTGGACTACCATTCATGCGGAAAATGAGTCGTAGGGAGTTGCGTTATTTGCGCGAACGACACACGCTGTTACCGCTCAATTGCTTCGTGTCCTTTTCACTTCACAAAAGTGCGTGTTAATTTACGTGTAATCACGTTTAATAGATCCCGCATGGGCGAGACGGTGAGTTCCTTGACTGGCAGGTTATTTCCATCGCTCTATGTCCTCATTTTTTTAATTAAATGCTTGGAATCAGTCCAGGCATGTCTGCCTCACAGTTCAAATTTCTGCTCTGGTTTCTCCCCTTGGTTGCATGTTTTTTTTTTTTTTGTTTTTTTTTTCCAGGTGCTCTGGGTTCCTCCCACATTCCAAAAACATTCATGCTAGGTTAATTGAAGACTAAATTGTCCATCGGTGTGACGAAGTCCAGGGAGTAGCCGGCTTCTCGCCAAAAGTTACATGGGATGGGCTCGGGCTCACCCGCGTACCCACGACATTGTTTTTGGTGTGCCTCAGGGCTTTATACTTGGTCCTCTGTCATTCAATACGGACATAGTGTAATTCAGTCAAAGCAAATACATGCGATTAATCTTGTTCAGTACATTTTGACATTCACAAATGAAGTTGGTCAACATACTTGGCTGTGGAACACCACGAAAGAAACCGTATATTGACAGCTGTTCAGGTACAACTGGGATTCGGCAGCAATGACAGTGAGGCACGTTAGGTTAAATGTTCGACTGATGGTTACGTACCATGTGGCTTGTGTGTGTGTGTGTGTGTGTGTGTGTGTGTGTGTGTGTGTGTGTGTGTGTGTGTGTGTGTGTGTGTGTGTGTCTGTGTGTGTGTGTGTGTTCACAGAGCCAAGTCGAAAAACGGCGGACGCTCATTGCGAGAGAAACTGGACAAAATTGGGCTCAACTTGCCGGCGGGAAGAAGGAAGGCGGCCAACGTGACTCTACTTACCTCGCTGGTGGAAGGTGCGCCGCATCACTCTGCTGCTGCTTCGTCTTCCACGTCCGCTGTAATTACTCTCGGGCCGGAATGTTGCTCCAATAAAGCGAGAATGTGGGAACGTCAATCTTTTCTCGCGCTGCGTTAGTGTCTGAACGGCGCTCTGCTAAATGCCACTCATCGGTGGCATTCTTAGCAATTCTATAAAAACAGCAACAACTTCTTGAACACATGGTGACTCTCTGTCCCAAACACTGCCTGCTCCCACATTTTAAAAACATGCATGTTAACCTGTTTATACATAAAGAAATACATATACTGGATTCATAAATATCACAAAAAAAATGTTAACTATTCTAAAGAGACTCTTGAACCAAACAAAACAAAGACAATTACAAATGTACTGTATTCCAAACAACAAGAAAGCCCTGCCTTAGCTAAGTCAGTTATTCTTAATGCTATCAAACAATGCAAAACGCCATAGATAGGCTAGCGAATCGCGTCAACGTCACGGCATTATAACCTTTTGAGCAACAGATGTCTAAACAAATGGCAGAGGAACACAAGTAGAATGGTAATATAATAACGCTCACAGTCATATATTCTTTATCCTCGCCAAAGAACAAAAATATGACTGTTTACTAGCGAAGGCACGGTAATCGACTGGTTAGCACGTCCATCTCACAGCGCAGAGGTCTGGGGGTTCCGGCCTTCCTGTGTGGCGTTTGCACATTCTCCGAGTGCCTGCGTGGGTTTTCTCCGGGTACTCCGGCTTCCTCCGACGTTCCAAAAACATGCATTGTGAAGATCAGCGTCTCAGTTAATGGTTGGCTGGATGAACTTTCTACTAGCAATTTTGACCGTCTACTTCTTGCACTCTACACTTTTGACACTTGTCATGATCATGACAAATAAATATTATTTGGGGGAACAGGCACAAAATTAAAATCATTTGTCGTGAACTTAAATTCTTCAATGAGAGAGTGCCCTGTAAAATGTTGCGACAAATGCAGTCATGTTTAATGAATACCAAAAAAATCTGGGTTTCATGTCTTTGGCCAGTGGCCCCGCCCAGAGGGGACACAAAACCGTTTGGGGTTCAGTGCCTTGCTCAAAGGCGCGGCTCGCAGTAACCGATGACAGACGGAGGTGCAAGCCGTTGGCCTGCAGTTTGTCTCCGACATGTTTTGCCACGACTCAAGCTGACATAAGATTGTCTGACCCTCAGCTGACACGCAGTCAATATCCTTCAGTATTCAGTTCTTTGCCCCCAAGTCGTCCATAAAAGCGAACACGTCCTCATCCCTCTCTGTGCTAAACTTAGGCCAGTCATATCTTAGGCCCACAGTGATCACGAGAACGCTCGGCCTCTTGTCTTCCCGCCCGCTTCACTTTGATTAAAAAGTCTGATGACTGCGCGGCGAGCATGTCTGGAGGCCTGCTGTTATTTCAGGACCTCGCCAGTTGAATCGGGCCTTGTTATCTGCCGCGCCGCTCGCCGGGAGGCCCGGCTGACATTAAAGCGTCAAGAACGAAGCGCTCGGAGCCAATAGCCGACGTGCCCCTCGTGCGCCACCGCAGCTGTTGATGCCGTTACCTAGCGCGCTTTCCCATGACAGCAGCCCTTCTGTTTCTCCTCTCAGGTGAAGCTGTTCATTTAGCCCGTGACTTCGGTTACGTGTGCGAGACAGAGTTCCCCGCCAAGGCCATCGCGGAGTACCTGGGCAGGCCGCATGTGGAACGAAACGAGGTTAACTCTCGCAAGAACATGCTTCTCGCCGCCAAGTGAGTTGTCATCTTTTGTGCGGAGAAATTCCCTTTCGCTTTTCACTAAATGCTGATGGAATTTGCCGGTTGCCTGCAATCTTGTCTCTTGATCTCAAGAAGGAAAGCCAACATTTTTTTGGTCTATCGTCTGAGCTGTGATTAGCGATTCCATCGGTTTTAATGCTGTGTTTAGTCAGTTTGGCGAAACTGTCATGAGCCAAAGCAGACACGGGCGCTGCCATCGACCCGCTATCATTGACTGGCATTCACAAATCTAACACAGCAATATAGTAAATCTCGTACATCATGTAGTCTAGGATGGGCGACGTTGGTAAACAGCAAGCAAACAACAAAATAACCACAGGCTGTATTTTTTTTCCCCCGGTGCAAAGTACTCTCTTGCATCAAAATTCAAACCATTCAAGGTTGGCACAAAACTGCTCAACACGAAACAAACATTTAGTGCAAGAAATCATTTTTTTCCACAAAAATCTCAACTCACTCAAGATTTTCATACTATTGAGGTACTCCGTTACTACTGCATATCATTCCAAATCAGCACAAAAACATATTTAGACCTACGCACATTGAAGACATGTCTGCCATCTAGTGGTGATTGCTGATATTAATTGCAATTCAGCACCCGCAGATTCGCGGCTTTCTTTTCAAAATATTTTTGTATTTTGTATTTTCCCCCTTTTTCCCTCCAGGATTTCTCCACAATTGCCGTTTTTGTGGAGAATGTATATTTAAAGTATATCAGCTGTTTTTTTGGGGTGGGTCTGGAAAAAAGAAAAAAAAAGAAAGAAACGAGTTTCAAAAGCTTTCAAAAAGCACCGTCCCTCGTATACGCAGTATAATTTCTCGAATCAAAAGAAAATGATTTTCAGACTTTTGTCCCATTACAGATAATCGTGACTTATGCAATCTTTGCCACAAATAACGGGGTGACAGCTGGTCTGCAACCATGCCCTTTTGTTTTTCAACATGACAAACGTACAAAACCCAAACGTGAACTGAATTGTTGTCGTCCCCTCTTCATAACTCCCCGCAGGCAAATCTGCAAGGAGTTCACCGACCTGCTCACCCAAGACCGCTCGCCGCTGGGCAACTCACGTCCGGCGCCCATCCTGGAGCCGGGCATTCAGGGCTGCCTGACCCACTTCAGCCTCATCAGCCACGGCTTCGGCTCGCCGGCCATCTGCGCCGCCATGACCTCGCTGCAGAACTACCTGAGCGAGGCCCTCAAACAAGTGGACAAGATGTACCTGAGCGCCGACGCGCAGGGAGCCTCCGACGGCGGCGGCAAATCCGCAGACAAACTGGACAAGCACAGGAAATGAGACCGCAACCCCCCCGGCCGGCCCCCTTCCCCCGTGAACTCCGAGAACCCCGGCTGCCCCTTTTACAATATCGTGTTTTCCCGCATGGCTGTGGTCAAAATCGCTCCCAAATCACTATTTAATGCACGAGATGGTGAGATGGCCATTTTCTGTCACTCTCTGAATGTGAGCGCAAGTCATCCCCGTTATCCTTTGAGGTGTCCAAATTCTTCCGAGGGTCACAGAGAGAGAAATGGAGGGACGCAAGGGGCAAAATGTGGTCTATGGCATTCATTTTCCGAATTAATCCCATTGATACAATTTTAATTGGTGAAAAAAAAAAGCCTGAAAACAAATCTCTTAACTCTCTGGGGCACTTGGTCTGTCATTCCCGCGGGAGCCTGGTGGCATTATGTCGCCTCAAGATCGAAAGTCTGGATGTTTTGTGGACATGGCTTTGTTGCAGTAGGAAACACAAGGCTAATTTAAGTGCAGATTAAATCCGCAGATGACACTGCTCACTCGGTTCATCGTTTAAAAAACTCCAGAAGATCACTCAAGGCCTTTTTGGCCTTTGAAAACGAGTTTGTGAAGACAATGCCACCGTAGTCATTTGCTTTTTGAAAGTGTTCAAGGCTACTTGTCTGGTCGGAGAGTTGATTTTGCACGCCCGGGTAGTGACAATTTTTGAACATCTCCAAATTCATGAGAAAAAAAAAATACAAAAAAAACAAGAACTAACATGAATAAGCTGCCAATTTTTCAAAATGGTTACTCGAGGATCATTAATGATTCATGTTCACAAATCGCAGCTGGACATGAAGCAGAAAGTGGAGCAAACCCTTTTTACGTCAGCATGATGTTTATTCACTGTTATGAAGACAGATGTTCCTATTTTAGTTGTAAATGTTGTACTTTTGTTTTAGCATCTAGAGTGTTACGGACCTTGTTCTTTTTATTCCATGCCGCCGGATTATTGTTTTGACCGAACTGCCCTATGTTATGCCCTCAGTGCATCTTGAAAAGTCATGTGACCAACGATGCACCCTCGATGATCAAATTACATCCCACGATGCATTGCGCCGATAAAGATGAATTTTCTTTGCTTCCGGGATACTCAACTTGCAACAATATTGTGTTATAATTTATTTGTTAGTTCAATATTTATTACCCACCAACTGTACCAGTCCACAGTAGAAAAATCCCTAAACAATTTTGAGTGGATTAAAAAAAAAAAAAAAAAAGAGAACTATATTGTCCACTCTATAAAAGTCCACAAATAGTGATTCGGGAGTAGCGAAGGAGGGAACAATTCCAAACACAGTCACCATTTCTCCAGGAACCTGCCGGGCAACTTGGGGGTTGGAGGATTCGTGCATGCTGTCTTTATCCCCCTCCCCCCCTCCACCCCTATTTCCCCTCCTCCCCCATCCAGAGGACATCATTTCAAGATGAGTTGTTGTGCACCCCCCGCCCCCCTTCCTCCTCCTCCTCAGTGGCGTCTGGAGGCAAATCCTCTGATTTCCTGTGTCTCGACGAACTCGCAAAAGGACTTTTTTTTTTTTTTTTTTTTAAGAAAGGGATGCAATTGCCCACCATTTTTGTGTGAGTATTGCTCGTCCTTTGTTTGTCCGACTGCGTGGGGAGGAGCCCAGTGTTGTTTTGAGCTGTCTGAATGGGTCACACAACAGAAGCCTCGGCCATGCTGTCCTGAAGGAGACATTGTGTTTTCTTTTTTTTTCTTTTTCTTTTGATTTTTAAATGTTCTAAAACGTTTTCCCCATGTGTCTTGATAACATGTCTGGGATGTGCTTTTGGCAAATTACACAAAGGATAAAAAAAAAAAAAAAAAAAAAATTAGAGCACACTTTTACACACAAATGATCCCTCCTTTTTAAGATGAATTCAGATTACACTTGACAGGGCTGTCCTGTCTGATGTTGTCCTCACCCCGACCCTTCGACTGTGGGGTGTGCCAATGCAAGAATGGCTTTTGTTACTACTTGGAGTGGTGTCTGGGGACAAAAAAAACCAAAACAAAACTGAAAGTCAAGTGAGCACACGCGAGATCCTGTAACAAGCAAGTAAAAAGCATGAAATATATTTTCACTTGAAGAAGCAGCACTTCATCGCCACCATGTTGAATGACACTTTCTTAGCCTAATAGCATTGCCCAAGTCATACCTGAAAGCTTTTGGAAAACACACACACGCACAATTTTTTTTAGTCATAGACCACATTGGTATATTTTTATTGGTCTTTCTGAAAGCAACGAGTGCCTTTGGCAATCATCCTATTAGGCTAACGACCTTTCAATGAGAGTGACCCATCTCACGCATGCAAACTAGATACCACCACCACCACCCTCAATCTGGCTGCATCTTCACCCAGCCTAACATTTGAATCATGAGATGGAGAAATTTGCTGCGGTGGTAGTTTTTTTGGTTGCGTGGTTTTTTTCCACACTCGATTGGGCCGAAGGCTCCCAACATTTGTATACAATTAAAAAGTCACTTTTCCATAATATGTTCCCGTTAAAATGTATTCAATTTGTTACCACATGTTCGTGTTCATCCTTTTAGTATTTAAAAAAAAAAAAAAAAAATCAACCGATTGATGAGTTTACTTCTGTGTGTACACTTGTACGTATGCATGCGTGTGTGTGTGTGTGTGTGTGTGTGTGTGTGTGTTGTGAGCAAGTGGATATACTGTAAATATTTTTTTCTAATTAGAATTTAAATACCAATACAGAATTTTAGCCATACTAGCTTGCCATGGATGTAAATATTTTCTAATTTATGTTGTAATTTAATGGGCTGTTTTTTTTCGTGTGTAAATAATCGTCCCTTTTTTTTTTTTTTGGTGTGTGATTTTTATGATGACCTATTTTATAATAAATGGGTTAGTTTTTCAATCAAGTAGAGAGGTTAGTAAGCGGGCAGGACATACTTTTTGGATTTTGGAAATGATGTACAGATAAAACCAAAAAAGAGCAGGAAAAATAAATACGATTCCAGCCTGATGCTTGACAGTGACTCACATTCTTCTTTTCAACGCTATTTGCCAAAAGGGACCAGTCACGTGTTTCTATAAGTCAAAAGTCAGGGCAGGGGATGGGAAGGCATTCTTCGCTCCTTGCAGGCGTCATGTGATGGCTTCCCAGTTGACAAATAATAACTTGTATTTGTGAGATAGTTTGATTATCTCGTGTGTGTCTTCCGTTTTGTTTGCGATGCCATTTAACGAGGTTTCTTCCTACCGGCGGCGAAAGTTTTACAGCGCTGAGCTTGCAACCGTGACACCCAGGAAAATGACCTGCCGTATTTGCACGGCCTGAAAAGTTGTTACAACACTCGGTCGCATTGTGGGTCAAACTGACCCATTTCAGGCTACTTATTTTGCTGGTCAAACATGTTGAGACGTGAAGGGATGAACAGTTTTATACTCTCCTGTAAAAGTTAACATTTTACCCCCTCTGTTGTTGGGTCAAACTAACCCATTTCAACCCTCCTGTTATGTGGTGGGTCAGACTGACCCGTTTTAATCCGATCATATTGCTGGTCGAATTCACCTGTTTTAACTCCAGTTAAGTTGCGGGCCAAAACGTCTTCTTGTAAAGTTGTCGCACTGTGAGTAAAAGTGAACTGTTAAACCCTCCCATTAAATAGCACCCTCAACTGGTTGCGAGCCAATCGCAGGGCAAAAATAGACGAACAACCATTCGCGCTCACAATCGCACCGAGGGACAATCTGAGAGTGTTCCATTAACCTGTCATTCGTGTTTTTGGAATGTGGGAGGAAACCGGAGTACCCGGAGAAAATCCACGCAATCACAGTGAGAACATGCAAACTCCACACTGAAAGGCCGGAGCCGGAATCCAACCCTGCCCCTCCGCACTGTGAAGCCGACATGCTAACTAGTCGACCACCGTGCCGCCAGAATTTATGCAAATGTCAGGATAAAAATCATTTTTATGGTTGTTTTGAATCTTTAAGCTGGTTGAAAACAGTGCAGGTCACTTTGACCCTTGACCTTTTTCGATGCTCTAAGAAACCGCTCATTCACATGTCTGTCAGTTGCACTCAACAGTCTCTCCATTTGAAAGTAGCAATTTGGTTCAAAAAAAAAAAAAAGCCAAAGGCGTGTTAGCCAGCCATTAGCGTTGATAGTATGAGCCTCTCCCCTCAGAACCTGTCCAACCAGAAGTGTCGGCATCGCTGTCTCAGCAGTTGACTGCTTGTCTCGTGTTTGAGATCAGATAGTGGGAGGAGGAAGTGGTGGTCGGGAAGACGACGACGTACGGTAAGTATCGGTGGAAGTGGGGGTGTGGGGGGGGGGGCGGCAGCCTTTGATGACCGGTTGAGCTCAACAAGTGAGCAAAGCCTCTTTGGATGCTCTCTTGATAAGTTCTCTGAGTGAGTGAGTGAGTGAGTGGACCTATTGGCACTTGGCTGAGCGATCGCACGCCAGCTGCACTCAACAAGTCAGCTATGCGAACCACGACAAGACCAATGGCCAATCAACTTGTACTAAGTGAAGATTTGATAGTGATAACATGCAAGTTGGGTGGATGTGGTGCCCATTTCTGCTTGCCCGAGAGGCGTTTCATAGATATACAAATAGAGAGAGATGCGGTCGATATAGATCGAGCACTCGAGATAGAGAAAGAAATGGAGACAGACATCGAGAGACTGACAGACTGAGATGAAAATAAAATTCAATGTAAACACAAAATGCTAAAGTAGTTCTTGGTCTCCACTGACCTGCTAAATTTTTTGTTGTTTTGGAATAAAAATAGTCTTCGTTTTTCATCCATTCAAGTACATTAAAATAACATACCAAACATTTTAGACTCCAAATATTTTTCCCTTCTGATCCTTTTTGAGGAATTATGGTCACAAAACTCCGGCACAGAGTGAAGCAGCAATAACCAAACCGCAAAGTAGCGACGGAGCACGATATGACTCTTTGGAGGTTCCGTCTTTTTTATTCCTCATGTATCCACTGGAAATAAAAATGAAAATAAAAATGAAATTAACCATTGTGCAACGTGCACCTGTTTCCAAAACACACACACCCTGTTCCTCGTCATTCATTTTTCCAAATTCTTGCAAGAAGGTGTGCGCTGTGGGAATGATTGGACTGTGACTCACCCAATAAAACGGAGAGTTGGAAAAAAAAAAAGAAGCAGCTCGAGCAAGCGCAGACTTGTGGAGCTTAGCTGTGACCGCCGTCACGTTTGCTCGTCAAACAAAAGAATCTCGTCCTGCGTCTCTCTCTTATTGTGAAACCGAGTGATCCTCCTCGTTAGGGAGGCCGCAGCACATGACACCGCCGGGTTGCTTGATTTATTTATTAATTTTTCTCAATTAGCCATGAAGACACTGCTGACAAGTCTGACTAAATGTCATATTGTTTGCTTGGGAGCAACACACGTCACACATTCACTTCTCTTTCAAAATGGAACTTTTCCACTCTGAGATGTTCCTCCGATCCATTTGTTGGCCACACATGCGCTTATTAGCAGCACGACTGATAACTCGCTTGCATTTTTCGACCAGCGAAACCACTTTGTCACCGTTAACATGACTCGGACCGGGCGCCGTCTGCAGCGGCGCAGTCTCGTCTCCAAACAGAAATTCTGGAATTATATTTGTGCTTCCTGCACTTGCCGTTGTTCCAGCTGTGACTTTTACCCTCCGAGTCGTCCTGTCTGCCCCGCGGCATGACTCACAGGTGAAACACCTGGCGTCTGCGCTCGCTCGGCTCTTCCTCACCTACGGAAAGACTTTCAGCATCTGTTATGTCTGCTTAATGTCTATCTTAATGTCCATGTGCAAGTAGGCGTTTTGTCCTCACTAGTAAAAAAAAAAAAATTAAAAAGTACATCAAACTTATTTAATGAGTAGTTGTACTAAAATAAGCAATTACAATGAAATTCAAATTTCGAAATGATTTCATCTTGGCTTGATTCTTTTGAATCCACAAAAATCTGGCATTTCAACTAGAGTGACCTATCCCACGCCCGCATACAGATACATCCCACACCCGCCATCTGGCTGCAGCTTGAAAATGGAGGATCTTCACAGTGCCTAACCTCTGAGTCATGGGTGGAGAGATTTGCTGCGGGCGTCGTTTTCATGTTAATTTGATATTCCGAAGCGCTGACACATTTTGAAGAATGGGAAGACAGCCAAATATTTACTTGTTGGCATTTTTTTTTTTCATACTCGACTGGGCTGAAGGCACCCAAAATTTGTATACAATTAAAAAGTCACTTTTCCATAACACGCCCCTGTTGAATGTATTCTATTTGTCACCACGTTCATGTTCATCGTTTTAGTATTAAATAAATAAAAAAAAAAAAAAAAAAAAATCGATCCATTGTTTACTGTAAATATTCAATCCCAAAACAGAATTTTAGCCATACTAGCTTGCCCCGGATGTAAATATTTCCTAATTTATGTTGTAATTTAATGAGCTGTTTTGTTTTTTGTTTTTGTAAATAATTTCACCAGGGGTGTGTAAACTTTTTTTAAGCAGCATTCCATGCCAGCAATGTAAAGCGATGGGCATTATGATTACGATTCTCCTCCATTGTCTATATTTCATGACTTTTGCTGTTCATTCTATTTTCAAAAACGATAGAAAAAAAAAATCAGCCAAACATCACATGTCACTACCCGGCGAAGCTCTACGGATAATGACATTCTTCAATCCGAATGCCATCACTGACAACGTCACTGACTAGTCACATGAATGCCAGGGGGTATCAGTGTGGGCTGGGGTGAGGAAAAAAAAAAAGAACTGTTGTGATTGTGGTGAGGAAGGTGCGAGGG